CCCACACACACATACTCCCACACACACCCCCACACATACCCCCCACCCACACACACCTCAGTGGGAGGTCCTTTAACCTTTCACTGAATCCTTGCCTCCATTCTTTTTCAGTTGATTAAAAACCACTTTCTGGAGCCCTGGCCAGGTGGCTCAGTTGGCTGGAGCATCATCCCACACACCAAAAGGCTGCAGGTTCAATCCCTGGTTCAGGGCGCCTATGGTCAGGGCACTGGGGTGCATACAGGAGGCAACCGATCGATGTTTCTTTCACATAGATGCCTCTCTTTCTCCCCTCCCTCTCTGTCTAAAAATCAATTAAAAAAATAAAAACACCCTTGGGTGAAGATTAAATAAAAATAAAACACCCTTTTCTTGAGCACAGCCTATGTACCTTAGGCACAGGGTTACACCCCTTCTGAGGCCTGAGACTCCAAGCACAGGAGGAGCTTCCAGCCAGTAAGCACCCCGGGCCGCGCAGCTGGCAGGGCCTCGGGCTCAGGGGGCAGGGAGCCGCTGCTTTGCCAAAACATCCGCCTCCTGCAAGGTCAGCTTCTGCTGCCCCTGAGCCCGACGGGGGAACAGGCTCATCCTGGAGAAGACGAAGCCTCTACCTGACCCAGGGGATAAAGGTGCTCACCCGGAGGCCAAGCCATGGACTAAACAGAGTCCGTCAGCTTGTACAGTTACTAAAAGAGCGTCCTTGGGCTCTCACCCTGAGCCTCAGCTGTCTGATCTGAAGGCCAGCGGCACAGGTGAGGGGGAAACGGGGGGGAGCTGAGGGTCTCAGCTCAGCAGACATGATCTTCCACTAGCAAAATAAGAGAAAAGCCAGGGGTCCTCAGAACAAGCTCAGCGGTTGTCAGAGCCGGCCCTCCACCCCCAAAAGCTTCACTTCCATTCTTCCACCAAGGAGAACAGGGATGGGCCCGGAAGAAAGAGGGATGTGGTTGTCCAGTGCTTCCTCTCCCCACATTCCCAAGTCCCGCACCTGCGGCAGGGGGCTGAGCGGGGCCCCCAGCTCACTGAGTCACTGCCAGCATCCCCGGGAACATGTGCTCAGTGCTGTGAGCATCCAGTTTCACTTTCAGTAAAATAACCGCAACCCTCCATCACAGCCTGCTCACCTGGGCAAGCCGCCGAGGTCGATCTCACTGCAGATGTAGGGGCCAGGACGCAGGATCACCCACAGCCCAATCTCTGCAGCCAGCCGGACAAAGGCCCTGGGAAGATCAATGTCAGCAACTCTGAGGACATGGAGCGAGCGGGATCAGCCAGCACACACCGCAGGTGGCACAGGCTCTGCTCCCTGCCCTCCTCTCAACCAGAGGCAGGGCTGAGTGAAGGGAAGGCAGAGCCCTGACCCCCAGCAGAGCAGGTAGTCCTACACCTCTGGTCATAGGCCTGAGGCCCTGGCAGCGGGGTTCTCACCAGCTCCTAGACCAGGACCCTCTGCACAGCCCACCAGGTCATGAGGGGAAAGGTGTGAGACAGGGGACGGGTCCTCACAACAAACCTGACCCAGTGGCCTTGCTGTCTCGAGGGGCAACCCCTATCCCAGCATGGGTGGCGAGACCCCACTGCAGAGCAGGGCTGACCCAGGAGGAGGCACCTCTGGGCTGCAGCGAGCAGGGCTGGGCTCCGAGGGGGCCTNTCTGGGCTGCAGTGAGCAGGGCTGGGCTCCGAGGGGGCCTGATCACCCAGAGTAACAGGTTCACAGCTGGAGAGCATCTGGTCCCGGTGCAACCTGTCAATGTCCTGAGAACAGGCTCTGGGCCTCAGGCTCCCCCTGGCTCTCCAAGCAGAACTGAGATACACTATGGCCCCTGATCACCCCACCAGCCCCCTTCGTGGACCCCAGTCCTAGGCAGGTCACAGATGCAGCAGCAGCACGTACTCCAGGTCCAGGTTCTCGGANCTGTCCCCCAGGCAGGCCACAGATGCAGCAGCAGCACGTACTCAAGGTCCAGGTTCCCAGAGAAGTCAAACGTGCCTCTCTGTGGCTCGTGGAGGTTCCATGGAATGTAGCTGGAACAGGAAAGAGGGAAGGGCAATAATCATCTTATTTCTTTCCTATAAAGTCCTAGGTCAGCCCCAAACCCATGCAAAAGCTAGGGCAGCTCTACTTTGAAACAAGTTGGACCTTCCAATGGCAATTAAACCTGTATTACATGAACAATGATTATTTTCAATAGTTCCTTTCTCTACTACCCAGTGTGGTCCAAGCTGTCAATAATCCTGATTCCTGATTCCTTGGAGTCATACATTAATTATCCCACTGACCACCCTTTCTTTGTAATACCCATTAAAAATATAAAGAAAAAAACACAAATGTCTACAGATGCCCAATAAGTTATTGCTAAGAATCAAAACAAGAACAGAAGGGGAGTTTTAATAGGATAATGGACACATAATAAAGAAAGGTGCCATCTTTGGATCTAGGGAGAAAGACCCCACCAGGGACCACCCCATGCAGCTGAGTTTGCAGGGCCAAAAGGACATGTGTAAAATTTTATTAGGTGCTATTTTTTTTTTTAGGTGACTATATTTTAGGTGTCACCAACAGTTTTTTAGTATTGTGCCCTATTGTTTGTCTTAAGCCTTATAGTTCTTATTGCACAGTTTTTACAGTGTAGAGATTTTTAAGAATGAGTATGTTGCATTATAGCAGAACTGAGCATACTTTAAGATCTTTTGTTGTGAGTAGGAATGAAAAGTTGGTTTGCTAAAGATTTCAAACATGCATGATAAAGTTTATAACTATACACTGAGAGAACAGAATGAAATCATTTTGCTAAATGATGCTTACAAGTGGCTTTTTTTAAAGAACATTGCTGAGCCGTGGCCGGTTTGGCTCAGTGGTCGCGCATCGGCCTGCAGGCTGAAGGGGCCTGGGTTTGGTTCCGGCGAAGGGCACGTGCCTCGGTTGCAGGCTCCACCTCTGACCCCCGTGGGGCCCGTGCGGGAGGCAACCAATCGATGTGTCTCTCTCTCTCTCCCTTCCACTCTCTCTGAAAAGCAATGGAAAAAATATCCTCGGGTGAGGATTTAAAAAAAAGAATATTGCTGAAAAAACTTCAGAAACAAAAAGATGGGAAATGATATCGATGAGATGAAATTAATCTACCAATCTTAAATCACAGGCAAAATGGATTTTTAAGGCAAAAAACTCTCAAATAGATGCTAAAAGAGGCATCAAATAATAATAAAGGGAACAATTCATCAAGAAAATATAATAATCATTGCCTTCTGTGATCTTAATATCATGGCTTAAGTAAAAAAGTTTAATGAATCAGAGAAGTAATGGATAAATCCACAGTCATAATGAGAAGACTTAAAATACTTCCCTAAGAAACAAAGATAATAACAGCAAAAAACTGTAAGGATATTGATTTGGAAAACACAATGAAAAGGCTGGATCTCATAAATACACAGAGAACTCAACAGCAACGGATAGAGCCTTACATTCTCAAAAAATACATGAACAGTTGTAAAATACAAATCCCAAAAATCTGCATTACATGGCTCATGATCCCAAGACAAATGCAAATAAATTAGAAAATTACACTTTATTTTTTTAAATGTTTTTGTTGAATTTTTTTTTTTTTAGAGAGGGAGGAGGGGAGAGGAAGAGAGAGAAACATCGATGTGACAGACATCGATCAGCTGTCTCCGGCACGCCCCCAACTGGGGATGGAGCCAGCAGTCAGGGTACACGCCCTGACGGGGAGTCCAGCCTGTGACTTCCTGGTGCCTGGGGCAATGCTCAACCAACGGAGCATGTAAATAAAACAAAAAGCATAGAGCTAAAATGTTCGAAACCAAATGACTGCCAAAGTACTATCTAGTAAAATCAGGGGAATTATATAACCAAAGCAATACTTAGAGGTATTCATAGTCCTGAATAAATATATTAGAGAACAGGAAATGAGCTAAATATTCAACTCAGGAGACAAGGAGAAGAGAAGGAGGGGAGGGACAGAGAAAGAAGGTGCTAAATGAAATAAAGCACAAGAAAGGAAACTATGTGCACCTCAGAAGTCGTGAAATAAAAAACACAAAGCTACGCAGAAGATTAACAAAGCTACAACCTAATTCTTTGAGAAGACTAAAAATTTAGATAATATTAAGTAGAAAAAAAAGAGGAAAAGGCCCAAATTCACAGAATGATGTATAATTTCCAAGAAAGACAGGAGAATTTTTAAAGTCTCAGAATGGGGAAAAAAAAAATCTATAGAATAATATACTCTAGAAGAAATGTAAAAACATGAGTTAAATAATAACTATTCAAAAAAGTTATATTATCCCCAAAATCATCCCCTCACAACCACAAAAGATAGTAGCCACGACATCTTACAGATAAATTTTAGGAAACATTCAGGCTAAAAATTTTTTTTGCAAAATATTTTCAGTGACCATAAAAAGAACATATAGTCATTTGATGAGTTTACTATACAATTAATATCAAAACTGGATCAGAGCCCGGCCAGCGTGGCTCAGCAGTTGCACATCGACCCAGGATCCAGGAGGTCGAGGTTGGATTCGGGTCAGGGCACCTGCCGGGGCTGTGGGCTCGATCCCCAGCAGGGGGCGTGCAGCAGGCAGCAGATCAGTGACTCTCATTGATGTTTGTGTGTCTCTCTCTCCCCCTCTCCCTTCCCCTCTCTGAAATCAATAAAGATATATTTTAAAAATAATAAAAAACTGGATGAGAAACTAACATAAAATGTTAAATCAATTTCAGTGACATACATGTCTGAAATAAAACACTAGCAAATCAAGCTAGCAATCTGGGGTCGGGGGAAGGGAGGTGCACATGCACATGTGCACGTCTCATAAAAGAATTTACCCCAGAGCGGTGCATTGGCTGAGTATCAGAAACACTGTCCACGTGACTTACTGCTTTAACAGAGGACTGAATAAAATCCCTTCAATAGATGCAACAAAGGCTTTCAATAAAAGAACAATTATTTACGAGTATTGTTTGCAACTTAGATGAGCCAATTACCAATTTACTGCCTCTGGGCTTCAAATGCACCCTCCGCAGTGTGGGAGGGCCCTTGAAGCAGTGTCTCCTTTACAGCGAATGTGTTTATCTTTGCCACAGGAGGGCAGTGGAGGGACCCTGAGGAAGAAAGGGCTTCCATTGCTGAGCAGTTTTTTAATTTCTGTGGTCCTGCTGTATGTCCCGTTAGTGGTGTAGGAGTGTGAAGACATCTAGTGGTCCTTTCTTTTTTGAAAATTCAATACATTATAAGTATAATCCATAAGAACCAATGTAGAATTAACCCAGAAAGGCAAGGAAACTTAAATAGGGGGTGTGGCAAAAGTAGGTTTTACAGTCATTGCTACGGAAAATAACCCAATAATTAAAAACTAAGAATACAGTACTCACAACTGTAAACCTACTTTTGCCCACCCGAGTTTGGGAAAACAGTTAACACAGTGAAGACGTAGAGCATGACATCGCAGGCCCCGTGGTGTTTGGGAGCCATTCTTTCCCTTTCCATACTGTAAGGCTGGGCTTCTCGGGACAGCCTGTACTTTTTCCTGATGTTAACTAAGGAAACGCCACAGCCCGACCATGAGAACAAACAGACTTTTCTGATTGCTGGTGACAAACATCTATCTAATCAAGAAACAGAAAAATACATCCTACAGCATGAGATGACCGGCTGCCCTGCAAGGGCACTCGAACCTGACAAGATTCCACCGTGAGGGCTGGGAAGAGCACAGCATGGAAGGCACTGGACTGTCGAGCAGCTGGGCCCGGGCCCAGTGGGATTCCAGGCAAACCTCCGCTATCACCACCTGTGTGGTTTGGGGAAGAAGGCGCCTTCCCCTCCCTCCACCTGCGTTTTCTCAGTGGGGATAACACTACACGCCACGTAGGCCTGCTGAGGACAAGCGAGTTCATATTTCCCAGGGTGTAGAACATGCCTGGCTGCGTATAAACGCTACGTACATGTCCGTTGGCAGCTTACTATACAGTGGTGGGTGTATTGAACTTAGCGTGTCTGCGGCTGGCACTGGCAGACTGGCCGTGCTGAGGGGGGTCCTGCCTCTCCTCTCACCTTGGGGAACACCCTCCCGCAAGGTCAGCCACACGTCCTTCTGCAGGCAGCTGCCACAGTGCCGCCTCCATGGAACTTTTCCTTTGGGCTCATCCTTCAACCCACCTTCACTGACTTCCAATTTTCTCACTTTCAAGGCTTTTTTGGAAATAAGTCTGTTGTGAAGAGAACTCCACGGTTCCTAATTCAAATAGGATTTGGCTGGTGGCCCGGGCGGGGTTCTGTGGGCAGGGTGGCCCCCAGGGAGCTGCTGGGAGGAGGTGCTCCTCCCGAGCAAGCTGAGCCCTCTGTGCTTCCTTCCCTTCCTTCCCGAATACTGGGAATCCGACTGTCCATCTCTCGGGGCACTTGTGCAGATTAAGCAACTTCGTGGAAATGCTTAGGAAACGCCCAGCCATTAGTAAACCCTAAATGCATGCTACCTTTTGTCACTACACGCATAAGCATGTTAAATGTCATGCTAAACTTGTCATGTTACATTTACATTTAATCATGTCAAATTTATGTTTAAATTCTTCTTCTGGACTCAACTGGGCCGATGGTTTTTGTTGCCACTGTAATCAAAGTACATGTACGTGCCATGGTTGTGACAGGGGTTTTTCATATAAATAAGATAAAGGTTTTATCTCATTTAATCATCAACACACCCTAGGAGGCGCCTGTTAGTCTGCCCATTACAGAGGAGGACGGCAGGGCCCTGCCCAGACGGGCGGAGGCAGGGCTGGGCCCGAGGAGCAGGCTGTGTGATCGCTAAGCTACAGTATCCACTCCCTACGCTCCACTGAAGGTCACTTATGAGGCTAGTATTTCCTCGCATGTTCATTTTGATACAACTGTCATTCCTCCACATGTTCATTTCCCCATACGTAAATAAGAACTGTTGTAGCAAGCATGAGACGTACGTGACCCTTAGCAGAAAGGCTCGCGCTGGACATGGCTACTCAGAGGGTCCATCCTCTAGCCAGGCTCCGGGAACCAGCTCTGAGCCCGGGGGCAGATGCCACAGTCCCTGGAGGGCAGTGGGGGCCCAGGGGGCGCCGCAGCACTCACGTGGTGACGGTGTTGAAGCCGCAGGCCTTCAGCTTCAGGAGGCGGTCCTTCCAGTACTCCCTGGGCACCCGGAAATAGTGGATGGAGCCCCCGAAGATCAGGAACCTCTGGCCCTCCAGTGTGAAGTAGGGCCCACTCCCGTGCGTGCTTCCAGTCTGAAGTCCCACAGCTCGGCTCCGCAGCTCAAGAGGAGTCAGGTGAGACCAATTGAAACTGTTGAGAGACAGAGAGACATGGAGAGAGATGGAGAGAGACGGAGAGAGACAGAGAGAGACGGAGAGAGAGGAGAGAGACGGAGAGAGAGGAGAGAGACGGAGAGAGAGGAGAGAGACGGAGAGAGAGGAGAGAGATGGAGAGAGACGGAGAGAGATGGAGAGAGACGGAGAGAGACGGAGAGGGAGGAGAGAGACGGAGAGGGAGGAGAGAGACGGAGAGAGATGGAGAGAGACGGAGAGAGAGGAGAGAGATGGAGAGAGATGGAGAGAGATGGAGAGAGACGGAGAGAGATGGAGAGGGAGGAGAGAGACGGAGAGACGGAGAGAGACGGAGAGAGAGGAGAGAGACGGAGAGAGAGGAGAGAGACGGAGAGAGACGGAGAGAGATGGAGAGAGACGGAGAGGGAGGAGAGAGACAGAGAGACGGAGAGAGGTGGAGAGAGACGGAGAGGGAGGAGAGAGACGGAGAGAGAGGAGAGAGACGGAGAGAGAGGAGAGAGACGGAGAGAGACGGAGAGGGAGGAGAGAGACGGAGAGAGACGGAGAGAGATGGAGAGAGACTGAGAGGGAGGAGAGAGAGGAGAGAGACGGAGAGAGAGGAGAGAGACGGAGAGAGACGGAGAGGGAGGAGAGAGACGGAGAGATGGAGAGAGACGGAGAGAGATGGAGAGAGACGGAGAGGGAGGAGAGAGAGGAGAGAGACGGGGAGAGACGGAGAGACGGAGAGGGAGGAGAGGCTGCAGAAGCCCCAGGGAAAGGTGGTCCTTGCTAGCAGGACTTGCTGTGTCTGCTTCTGAAATGATTTTCTCCAGAAGAGGGAAGTTCCCCGGGGCCCCCCTCCGGCAAACCTGTGCAGGGGCATCTGGGGCGCATCATCCAAAAAATGAATGTACTTTTCATGTTTCGCCCGACGAGCAAAACTTGATGAGATCAATGGCAGAAACAAGATGTTCATGATTCTTTTCCATGAGAGACGTGGACTGAAAGGAGAAAGAAGAACCATGACAAGGGGGAGGCGCTGGCCTCACCCCACCCCGAGGCCCAGAGCGCTGCCCCGGAGGCAGGTGCGCGGCAGGGCGCAGGGGCGCCTCAGCGCGGAGCCCCTGGGCCAGGAAGGCTGAAGCTCTGCGGGGTTCCAGGTCCCTCCTCACAACCAGTTCTCCCACAGCCCCCCTCCGTCGGGGCAGAAAATGGGGAGAGACCTGGAGTCCTAGAAGCCTCGGTCAGGAACCAGGCAGGGCTGGGCACTGGGGGAGGGGTGCTGGTGAAAGGGGAGAGGGGCTCAGCGGCAGGTGGGAGCGCCCCGCCCCCCGGGCTCCGACGGCGCGGTGTCCGGCCACTGGCGCAGGGGACAGACGCTCCGCAGGGCGGGCTTGGCCGAGGTGCGGGGAGAGGAGGGCTGGAGGGCGGGAGCCTGCAAGGGGAGCTGCGAGGATGAGTCTCAGGCAGACCTGCGGGTCCCAGACCTAAGGGGCCCTTGCCCCCCGAAGGCGGGATGAGCAGCGACGGTCACCTGAAGCGCCGNCGCGGGGCTGCCGCGGGGGCCCAGGAGCAGCAGGTCCGGGCTCTGGGCAGCGACAGGGACAGAGCTCCGCGCGCGACCAGGACGTGGAGCCGCCTGCGCGCGGGTGTCTCTCCGCCGGGGACGTGAGGGGAGCGGTGCCCGGCGCGCGGCTTGGCCTTTAGTTTCCTTAACTGTGGGTCACCAACCGATTGAGACAGAAAGGCAGACTGGAGTGGGAAGCCAGGAGGACAGCTTAGCCCACGCCATGCACCAGAGGGCGGGGGAGATTGGGCTCGGCGGGTTGAGCAACTTTCACAAGGGCGCTTCGGTTCCAGGAGCGCTGCGGGCGAGTGGGCGGGGCGGCCCGCGCGACGAAATCGTTTGCAGTAGGCGAGCCAGTGCTAAAGGCAGGTTCCGCGGGGTGCAGGGGCGTCGGCGGGGCCGCAGGCCGCCCCAGGAGCAGGGCCGTCTCGCCCCGGCCGTGGGTGCGCGAGGGGGCCCCTCGGAGCCGCGGGGAGCGGGGCGCTGCGCCTCTCG